CTCTTTCTCCTTCTTCCTTCCCTTTTCCCAGGGAGAACTACTTGTTTACCTGCTCGTGTCCCAAGTGCCTAGCTCAAGCCGACGACGCCGACGTGACGTCGGACGAGGAGGAGGAGGGTGAAGGAGAGACAGACGATGCTGAGCTGGAGGATGAGATGACTGATGTTTGATCCTGAGCCCAGGCGAGAGGAAAGGGAAGGGACAGAGGGGGTCCTCTGAGAGGCAGCAGCTTTAATACTAGAACAGGGTTGTGTTGTGGGGTCGGGTGGGAGGCCACGTGCCGAGGTGTGGCAGCATGGGAGCTGCAGGCAGGCCCTGCTCCCCCCTGTCCTTGTGTGTGTGTGTGTGTGTGTGTGAGACTGTCCGTGTCCTCCCTGAGGACAGGCTGTCAGCTGGTGGCACCCCTGCCACATCCCAGTCCCTGAAGGGGCTGGCTGGTGCTGGCAGGGGTGGGGCTGGAGGGCAGGGGGATCCGGCCAGCCCCCGTGCTGGGGTAGGGGACATCATGGTTGGCACCTTGTGGCCACCTCCCAGGCTGCTCTGCCGTGTCCGTGCCAGCTGTGGGCACGGATTGTGTCCTTTCCTACCCACAGGGACAAGGGGAACCTGTGTGTATGTGTGTCCATGTGTCTGTGCACGAGGGGTACTATTTAATGTCTGTATTAGCACTATCTACACACCCAGGAGCTGAGGTCCTTATATATACCCCATTCCATGCCTTGGCTCAGCGAGCAGCAAGGGGCAAAACAATTTGGCAGGTGGGACAGAGACACCTTCATGGTGGCTCAGATGCCTGAGTGCAGTGGGCCTGGCAGGTGCCTCCCTCCCATCTCAGCCCCATCCTGTACATGATGCAAGGCCAGGAGGCCACTGCTAGCCCAGAGCCCACACCAGGATGGCATTGGGTAGGCCAGGCCACCACCCAAAACCCAGAAGGTGTTGTGGGTTTTGCAGAGTGAGCCCCCAGAGGGGGGTGCAGGGACACGGTGTGATCCATCCCTTGCTGCCAACCACCACTGTGCCTGTGGTGTCCCTGCCTGGGGACCATGCAGCTGGTGGGAGAAGACAACTCCAGGAAACATCTGGGGATGTGCCTGGGGTTATTTTCCTCCCCTCTTGGATTCTGGGGAGCCGTTTTCCTGCTGTCTCTTCCTTCAGGCCTGTGGCAGCTGGATTGTGGGACCGAGGGTGAGGGTGTAGATGGAACCTCTGACACGACCATCACTGCCAGCCCCAAACCTCGCTGCTTGTCCCCAGCTGTCCTGGGGCCGTGTCCCCTTCAGTGTTCGTAATAAACCGAGACTGGTGAGAAGTGGAGCCGTGTCCTTTGTACTGGTGAACAGCAGGGGGGGTACGGGAGGAGGAAATTCTTTGCTGTGAGGGTGGTGAGACCCTGGCCCAGGCTGCCCAGGGAAGCTGTGGCTGCCCCATCCCTGGCAGTGTTGAAGGGCAGGTTGGATGGGGCTTGGAGCAACCTGGGCTGGTGGGAGGTGTCCCTGCCCATGCAGGGGGGTTGGAATTGGATGATCTTGAAGGTCCTTCTGACCCAAACCATTTTGTGATTCTGCAATCCAGGGGTTGGTCCCGGTGGGGACATGGAGATCTGGGGACACCCACCAAGGTCTGGGCTCTGGTTCTGTGACCAGCCTGCCCTTGGGGACGGGTGCCAGAGACAAATCCTGTCCTGTGGGGCTGCTTCTGCCCCAGTGCATGAATGATCCCTGCAGCACGGGGGTCTGCCCTGGCTGCAGGAGGCACCTTGGGAAGTTTACTGGGAAAAATGTCAGTAAGGGATGAGATATTGGTCCCTTCATCCCTTGGTTGATGGAAAAAAAAGACAAACTTCTCTTCCTCTAAAATTTGTTCATTAGCTCAGACAAAAATATATACAGCTGGTGGGAGAGCCCTGCTAGTACAGCCCAAGCCAGTGTC